CCTAGGCTGGTGGTGTGTCATCTACCTCGTTATCTGCTTTTCACAAGGACCTTGAGAGGGAGGGATTATCACCTGCTTTGCAGAAGTGGAAACTGAGGCACAGAGGCGTGCCAAGTGCTTTACTGCAGGGTCCTCCTTCATCCTCACTGCTGGATGTGAAAGTAAGGGTTTGATGATTCACCTGGTCCCACATCTAGGGACTGCCCCTGCAGTCTCAGCCAAGGCAGAGGGGGCACTCGTCCCCGGCTTTTGGGTGTGGCCATGCTGCTTCCACTCCTGCCTGTCTGCCCGCATCTCCACTGTGCTTTGCTGCTCATTGGAGCCAGCAGAAAGGTTTGGAATGTTCTATGCTGGGGCCTCTCTTTGGGCGAGGTGGTGGCCTTTTTAGCCCCCTTTTAGCCCCTTTTGACACGGGTCTCACCATGTGGCCTAGGTTGGCACTGAACTTACCCATCGTCTTATTTCTGCCTCCCAAACGCTGGGATTATTACAGCCTCAGCCAGCATGCTTGGTTTTATGTGGTGCTGGAGATGAAACCCAGGGCTTTGGGAATGCTAGACAAATCTCCGCCAGCTGAGCCCCATTCCCAGCCCCAAAGATGAGATAATCTTTTTTAAAAAATAATTTTTTTGCTAGGCGTGGTGCACACGCCTTTAATCCCAGCACTCAGGAGGCAGAGGCAGGCAGATCTCTGTGAGTTCAGGCCAGCTGGGGCTACAGGGAGACCCTTTCTCAAAAATTAAAAAAAAAAAAAAACAGGGGCTGGAGAGATGGCTCAGCGGTTAAGGGCACTGACTGCTCTTGCAGAGGACCCAGGTTCAATTCCTAGACCCCACATGGCGGCTACAAACCGTCCTTAACTCCAGTTCCAGGGGAATCTGAAGCCCTCTTCTGACCTCTGAGGCATTGCACGACACAGGTGCACTCACATGCATGTAGGCAATACACTCATACACATAAAATAAAAAATAATAAATAAAAAGCAATAATGATTGTATTTATTTTTATTTTTTGTGTGTTTTGTCTGCATGTATGTGCAATGCCTGTAGAGGCCAGAAGAGGGCATCATATCCCCTGGAATTATAGTTACAGATGGCTGTTAGTGGTCATGTGGGTCCTGGGAACTGAGCCTGGGTCCCCTGGAAGAGCAGTGAGTATTCTTAACCACTGAGTCATCTCTCCAGCCCCCCCCACCCCCCGATAATGTTTAAGGTACAAGGTACTTTCAGCTGTCCTGGGCAGCCAACAAAGCAACCCAAACAACTCAGGTGACAGAGGCAGAGGACCTTTAAATTGTACTTTATTTGTTTGTTTGTTTATGTGTGTGTGTATGTGTGTGTCAGGGTGGGCTTGAGGCAGTCAGAGGACAACGTGCAGGAGTTGTTTCCTTTGCCACATGGATTCTGAGAGTGGAACTTGGATTGTCAGGCTTGGTGGCAAATGCCTTTACTTGCTAAGCAATGTCCCTGGCTTTGAGGCAGAAGAATCTGGAGGTTGAAGCCAGTCTGGGCTACACAATGAGATACTGTCTTTAAAAAAAAAGTCCCTTTCAACATATATTGCCAACCAGCAAGCACCCAGGCCTGAGGAGACCCCAATGTGACTTCATTCTCACCTGCCCATTTGAGTTTCTTTTGTGTCTCTTGGATGTGGGATGGAAGTGATGGGAGATCCCGGGGATGATGACATGTTGTGAGCAGGGCTGGCTTGCTCTGATGGAGACTTCTGTCCTCCCTCAGCCGCTGACTGGGTTTCCCTCCAGGTAGGTAAGTTAGATGCTATTCCAGACCTTTCTGCTCTCTCAAGACGGGATTCTTTTGCTCTGGAATATTCTTCATGTCACATTAGAAAAGACCCCAGATTTGCTGCCTGGCTGGACCCAGCTGACTAGGAATCTTTAGACTGTGTGTATGTGTGTGTGGGGGGTGTCTTCTCTCTGACAGCCCACCCTGTGGGGTCTATTGTTTAGAGAGATTCGTTGACAGACTTAGGTGCCCAGCAGCTGCTGCGGGGATGGGGCGTGGGAGTGAGGCTTCTCAATGGGTGCTGCGCATCACTCTGTGCCAAGTGTGTCTGTGGTTGAAGGTGTGAGGCAGGTGAGACAGGGAAGGTGTGAGGCAGGGAAGGTTGTCTCTGTCAGTGTTGGGGTGGAATGTGAGGCCTTGGAGCTCTGTGGGCCAGAGGTAGATGCTGGGCACAATTTCTGGTGTCCTTGGGCTGTGTCTGTCCCTTGTGAATTCCTCTTTCTGGTTGAGCCTCCATCCTCTTCCCAGTGCTCCTTTTTGAAAAAGATTTTCCCCATTAAGATGTTTGTTTTGCCAGGTATGGTGGCGCATGCTTTTAATCCCAGTACTCAGGAGGTATAGCCAGGTCTATGGCCTGGTCCACATAGCCAGTTCCAGGCCAGCTGGGACTTCAGGGAAACCCTGTCTCAAAAACAGAAACAAAACAAAGCAAAAGTCAACCAAACAAACCAGAACCCCAAAGCAAGCAAACAAACAAAACCAAAAACAATTTGTTTTCAAACAATTCCTTGTCATATGTATAATTTTTACCATTTTTTAAAGACAAAAGTGAATTTGCGTACTAATGAGATGGATGTGCTTGTTTACTTTTTCATAAAGATTTAAATCTTAGGTAAATATTTGATACTGCAGGATGTAGAGTATCTCCCTTTAGTCACAGTTGGTCGATATTTTGATTTTATGATCGTCAAAACTGAGAACACTGCTTCACATAAATACACAGTACAAAATGGTAGAAGTGCTGTTAAAGCCATTTCAGAAATTGTTGGAAATTATCTCAAGCCAAAATTTATTTAATGATTTTTTAATGAAACTCAAGTCAGCAATTTTTTAAATCAAACATTCTAACATAATCCAATCTGAAGAAATAATTTGATACTTGAATGCTGAGGAATGATGAAGGAATATGTTTAGTCTTTGCTTTCCATAATGAAGTGATATATTTTTATATAAGAACAGAAAACTGTATGTTTAGTTAAAAACACAGCAGTTCGTAACATTAATAGTCTTGACTCGGAGCCAGAGTGTTTCAGGCAGTGTTTGCTGGTATTAAATGGCATGATGGAGTGCACGTATGTGTTCAAGGTCCAGTGAAATTGCATGATATAACACAGGTGAGCACTGCCAGAAACATCTTAGGTTACAACACCTTTTGTGTGTGTGTGTGTGTGCGTGTGTGTGTGTGTGTGTGCGCGCGTGCGTGTGTGTGCGCGTGTATGTGTGTGTAGATTAAGAGATAACCTTGGCTGTTTTTCAGGCATTCTACGTTATTTGATACAAAGTCTATCACAGACCTGAAACTTGCCACATAGGCTAGGCTGGCCCGCCAGTGAGCCCCAGGGATCTGCCAATCTCCACCTCCCCAGTGTTGGGATCACAAGTGTGTGCACCATGGCTTTTTTTTTGTTAATGTGGGTTCTAGCAATCAAACCACAGCCAGCACTTTACCATTGAGCTTTCTTTCTGTCCCATGCTTTGATTTGAACTAATTTTGTTTGTTGCACATTTAGAAACATTTTACTGCTGCCAAATTTTTGCTACCCTTCCATTCAGTCATAGGACCCTGTATGGTGTTGCTTAAGAAGCTGGGATCAGGCAAAATGCTGTAAGCTCGGATTGCCCCACTCGAAGCAGTTTGGATCCATCCCAGCATTTGAACAGGTGGATGGTACCAGCAAGATGTTTCTGTGTGGAGGATGTCGTGGCCCAGGGAAGTGTCCACAAAACATTCCATCATCATAGCTGTTTGTTCCTTATGACCCAAGAGGTTGTGGGGGATGGTGGGGAGAGCCAAGTAAGCTGGAGTTACAGTACAGCTCTGTCACTCCTTGGGCCGTGTGACCTTGAGCTGCTCAGCTGGGAAAGTGTGGCAGCATGTGTGTCCTCCTGTCTCCCCAAACTGCTCTTGTTTACACACACATTCTCTCTCTCTCTCTCTCTCTCTCTCTCTCTCT